GGGAAAGAGGGAAAGTGACAAAGCAAGCTGCCAGATCCAGAACTTGAACCATGGTCAGCCATGTGGGAGTCCAGCGCCTTAACCACCATACCACCTGCTGATTCCCCCTCAGTAGAACTATTATGCTTTAGTGTTTGACATCCTTAAGCAAAAATTTTGTCTACATTTCAGATTTGAAATTAGGGTAGTATTTTCTAAATGGCTTGCCCTGCATCAGCATAGGTAGCAAAAAGCAAAAAACTGGGAAGATGTATCATCTTAATCCATTTGGACTGTAAAAAAATGCCATAAACTAGGTGACATAACAACAACGGAAATTTATTTCTTACAGTTCTGGAGGCTGTGAAGTCCAAGACAGGTGATGGCAAATTCAGTGCCTAGTAAGCTCCCTTACTGGTTCACAGATGGCTGGCTTTCTGCTATGTCCTCACATGGCGGAATAATGGTCCAAGTGGAATAATTAGCATATTTATCATCTCCAAATTCTATCATTACAATGTGTCAGAAACATTCGAAATTCCCTCTTAGTATTTTGATATATACAGTTAGTTATCGTTACATGTATTAATAGTTACCTGCTATGTTATAGAATGGGAGACTTTAGTCCTGTTATTTAACTGCAATTTTGTGCTATCCAACCTCTCCCCATTCTGTCCTCTCCCTACCCTCTCAGCCTTTGATAATTGCTGTTTTTTTGTTTGTTTGTTTGTTTGTTTGAGGGAGGTTTCTGCTATAGGGCACGTGCGCTAGCCAGAAAGACAGAGAGAAACAGAGAGATAGAAAGGGAGAAATCATACCCCAAGGGGAATGGCCACGCCGCAATCCCTTCTCCTCCATTCTCCTCTCGGGATCCTGGGCACACACACATATGTGCCGAGCGTGAGTTTAAGCCACCGGGTACAGAACTCGAACTGCGGTCAGCTACGTGGGAGTTCAGCGACATAACCATTACGCTAACTGCTGGTCTGCTGGTCCCTGTCTGACTCTTCTTGAAAAGCTGCCAACCTTGTCAAGGCAGAGCCTTTAACTGGCTTGGTAACTGCTGTGTCCTGCGCTTCTAGGATAGAGCCTTGTAGGTGCTCAATGAGTATTTGAAGGACTGCATGACTGTCTTGCTTGGAGCCCCCAAATCCTCCAGCTCTTGCCTCTACTGTGAGCTCCTGAAGCAGCATCTCCGCCTGACACTAGAATTCCCTGTTGCCAGCTGGACTGGGTTTCTATCTATGTTCACTCCCCCGTTCTCCTCACATCCCACCCTCCTCTTCTTTTCAACGCCCTCCATAATGACTTTTCTGGACAGCCCTAGCACAAGCTAGCAGGTGCAGGTCTTGGTAACTTGTAACCCATGACCTAAATGAGCCTTCGTCCTTATGGGTTTCAGAAGAAATCAAGTCCAGTGAAGAGCCAGAGGTGGCATCGAGGGTAAAGTGGCTGATCCCATATGGCTGATTTTGTGGTTCGAGTCCCGGACCCAATACCACTGGGTGCTTGTGCATGCATGCCCAGAATCCGAAGAGGAAAATGGAGGAGAAGGGATTGTGGCATGGCCATCCTCCCTAGGAGGTGACATCCCACTTTCTTTCTCTCTCTCTCTCTCTCCCCAGCAAATGCACGTGCCCTATAGCAAACTAAAAAAAATAAATAAATAAAAATAAAAATAAAGAAAGAAAGAAAAGAAAAAGGAAATAAAGTCCAGTTGCCAATTTGTGATCAAGAATGTGAGAGATAATAGATGAGAGGAGGGACCAGCAGGTGGTATCGTGGTTAAGGCACTGGACTCCTAAGTGGCCAACTGCAATTTGAGTCCTGGACCTGGCAGCTTGCTTCACCCTCCTCCAGTCAAATAAAAACAACAATAATAATAATAATATAAAAATAATTTTTAAAAATAGATGAAAGGAATCAGAATGGTATTATGGGGCCGGCAGGTGGTGTGGTGGTTAAGAGCACTAGATTCCCACATGGCTGACTGCAGTTCAAGTCCTGGACCTGAAAGCTTGCTTTCTCATTTTCTCTCTGTCCCTCTCTGGTCAAATTCAAATGAATAAATGAGTGAATAAATAAGCATAAATACTTCTTTAAGAAATATAAAAAAGAGTGACTCTTAGTCTGACACAAAGTAAACGGAATTGCTTTCAATGCTATCCTATACCCAGTGGTATACAAAGACACAGACATGGTTTAAATGACCGGGACCTAGACACAGAGCAGAAGGTTCGTGACTGGATTACCAAGACTCTATACTGCAGAGATCTGGGATTTAGCCTCTTTGGAATGCTAGAACGAAAGGGGACTAGCAGCACCGGCTTCATTTAGTCATTTCCCCGGGAAACAACAAGCCTACCCACCCCTACTCCCCCACCATCTCCTCTTGGCCTCCCAGTGGGGAAATGGCATGGCCTGCAAGTCTGAAAATCGTACACATTTCTTCAAAAGTAACAACTCATATTAAAGAGTAAGGAAGAAGCTATAAACAAGGAAGAAATATTTCCCATATATTTAACTGGTAAAGGTTCCAGAATATATGAAACATTCCTATAGTCAGTAAGAAAAAAGAAAAAAAAAAACCTAACAACTCAATGGGAAAAAATAAACAGACAAAATACATAAACAAACATTTTGCTGAAGAGAAACAATCATATCCAATACCCTTTTGAAGATGATCAGGGACAGCCCCAAAGCGCCAACCATTAGTTAAGTGCTGTGCATGGAGAGCTGGATCCCACATGGCTGACTGCAGCCGAAACCCCAGCCCCAGTGGCTTGAAAAACACACTGGGGGATGCATGTGGGCAGGAAATGGGGAAAAAAGCATTAAGGCATATCATGCCCCACTGGGGTGAGGGTGAGGGTTAGGGTGCTCTCTCTCTCTCTCTCTCTGTGTCTCTCCTTCTCTGACAAGGATGCATGCCCTTTGGCAATTAAAAAAGAGGAAAGAAAAGGCAGCCACTCTCATCAGTAAACGAGAAATTGCAAATTAAATCCGCAATGAGATGTCACGCCCACCCGCTTGGCAAAGATTTCCACATGGATGGCAGCCATGACAACTCCATTTACCGGCAGTGGAAGGTGAGATTGGTATAATACTCAGTTAAACAATTTAAAGAGGAGACAAAGTAGGTCTCTGTGTCTCTATGACCTAATAACTCTACTCCTAGGCATGCGCCTCAGAAAGCACTTGTGCGTGTGCACCGAGGGACATGTGTGAGGGCACGCAGAGCAGCCTGGTTCACGCAGGGAGAGCCGTAAAGTGTGTGATGCTTCTTTACTGAACTGTTGGGAGTATAGAAAGCAATGGGGACCAGCAGATGGCATAATGGTTACATCACTGGACTCCCATGTAGTAGACTACCGTTCGAGTACCGGACTCGGTGGCTTAAACTCACGCCGGGTGCATGTGCGTGCGTGCCCAAGATCCAGAGAGGAGAATGGAGGAGAAGGGATTGTGGCGTGGCCATCCCCCCTGGGGGATGATTTCTCACTTTCTGTCTCCCTGTCTCTCCCTGTCTTTCTGGAGAGCGTATGTGCCCTATAGCAAAAACCTCTCCATTAAAAAAGAAAGAAAGAAAGAAAGAAAGAAAGAAAGAAAGAAAGAAAGAAAGAAAGAAAGAAAGAAAGAAGGAAGGAAGGAAGGAAGGAAGGAAGGAAGGAAGGAAGGAAGGAAGGAAAAGAAAGAAAGGAAAAGAAAAGAAAGAAGGAAAGAAAGAAAGAAAGAAAGAAAGGAAAAGAAAAGAAAGTTAAAGAAAGGAAAAAAGAAAAGAAAAGAAAAGAAAAGAAAAGAAAAAAAAAAGAAAAGAAAAGAAAAAAAAAAGAAAAGAAAAGAAAGCAGTGACCCCACTGCTCCGGCCTCTGTTCTCGAGGACCTTTCACACCACAGCGGCTGCTGAGACAGCCATCCTTCAGGGCACTGTGGGAGGTCGTGGGGAACCAGAGCACACCCACCTGCCTAGTCCTTACCATCAGTCTGACATCCAGGTGCTACCGTTCTATTTCTGGGAATAAATTAAAGTGTAAGCAATGAATCCAGTGTTTTCCCACCCACCTTTGAACCTAGACCAGACTCTCTAATCTGGTCTTTCTCGCGTTATTTCTGCACAAGAGGAGCTTAAAAACGATGGCCGCCGTTGTTTTCTCCGCTGATCTGTCAGGGTCTCACTCCTGCCTCTCTCACTCTGACACAGCACTGATCCCCCGCGTTTGAGTAGGGCTTGGGGGTCCTTTACCATCCTGTACTTTCCTTTAGGAAAGGCCCTTCTGTTCTAAATGCTGGGTCCCCAAAGGGTGTACCCCGCTTTCAGTGGATTGCAAAGTATGTGCCTGATACATTCAAGCTCCTGATTTTAGGGAGAGGCCCCTTAGAAAGGCCTGCGACCCGCTCACATGCTGCTCACATGCGTATTCTGGAGTGGGTCTGCAATCTCGCTGAGCATCCCAAAGTGAGAATCACAATACTTTGACACCCCAGAGACTTCTAGAGTATTCAATGAAATAGCGTGAGCACGCGCCCATGCAAAATACCCTTTTAAACCTTACTATACATACTTCTTGCCCTTTCCTCCGCATTCCTCGCCTTTCAAGAAGGAGGTCAAATAAGATCCATTTCCCCTCTTTCTGTAAAACGAATTGGACCCGTGTCAGCTGGCATCCTGGAAGGAGCTGTCCTGGGCTGTCCACCAGGGGACTGTAATACCAAGAGGGACAGCAGAAGTCAGGTCACGCTGGAGGGCAGGAGCAGTGCACGGAAGTAGGGGTTACCTTCGACTTAGAAATCCACAGGGCGACCAAGGCCCCCAGACCTATTAGAAATGAGTGTGTGAGCAAGCCCGAGCAGCTCTCTGTTGACTCCTCACTAACAGACAGCTGTATTTCCCTAAATGAGCTCAGACCCTGCAGGAATTTGGGGACGGTCAGCAACCAGGTCACCCCTGAAGCGGCATTGCTTCCACATGCTCCGAGAACTGTGCCAGGCGCTGGCGCGCACGGGGAAACAACGCGGATGCTCCGACACAGGTGCACACGGGACTTCCCGAGCTCTGGGAGGGGAGACACCGCACACCCCGAGTCCGAGAAGCTTCCCGGGGACGGGGAAGAAGGGGCGTCCTGGGCAGATGCAAGGACCGAGAGCGTGGCCACCACCCACTTTTAAATCCCGGAGCCAGGGCCTGGATTGCCTCCCCCCGCCCCATGCTGCCTCCCCAGTCCTCTCAAAGGTGGCACCAGATGTACACTTTTAATTCCACTCGCTTCTAACCCAGAGCGACATGCGCGGTACCCTGAGTCAGAAGCTCAGGCCAGGGACTCTGGTCCTACCGCAGAGTAGGGGGGCGGGCCACGGGCCTGGGTGACGCCAGGGAAGCCGGGGGCGGCGGACGGCGAGGTGACGCTGCGAGACCGTGCGGCCCAGCCCACGTGCGTGTGAGATTTAAAAGTTGGCGGCGCCCGGGGCCGTGTGTTCGTGGCTGGCCCGGGACGCGGAGGCGCGGTCTGGGAACGCGCAGAGCACCGGCGCGGCGCGGCCGAGTCCAGAGTCCAGAGTCCCCAGCCGGTCGCAGGCACTGAGATGTCGCGAGCACCGAGCTGCAGCCTTGGGCCGTCCCTCGGCCCCGTGGCCGCGGCGTCCCGGCTCCTACCGCTGCTGCTGCTTCCCCCGCTCCCTGCGCCGGCCCGCCGGCGGCGCGGGCCCCTGCCGAGGTGAGCCCCCGGGGCGGGGCGCGCGGGTCTCCGCAGTCCCTTCGCCCCTTTCTCCCCACCGTCTTTGGCTCCTGGGACTTACCTTCCCCGGGCGCTGCGGGGCGCTCTGCCCTGCACCACAGGCGAGGGCCGCTCGCTGCAGGGTGACCAGTGGCGCAGGCGCGGGCGCATTCCCGGCCCGGGCCGAGCTCCCCAGCCTGGAGCACTGTCCAGGGGAGACTCGGTTCAGGGCAGGCTGCGCTTGGTGGAGACCGGAGGGGTCTTTCCGACTCGGCATTTCCAGTCCCTCTCTGGCGACGGGACTTGAAATAGTGAAAATCAAAATGCTCCTCTTCCG